ATGAATTTAGTACAGTTTATATGATTGTGTAGTACAAAATCAAAATTTAAACTCCTACTAACTTTACCCTGTAGTTTATTTTAATGTAACTGATTACTGCAATAACTGATTACTGACCCATTTTCAGAATAATACAAACTCAATTATATAACTATATGTTTAGTATTTGTACAGAGAGTTGTGTGCTAAAAAGAATAAGTATATTCATAACTGTACAGTAGAAGTAAAACGGAAATGTCAATATCAAATAAGATGTAAAAAAATTGTGGATATCACACAGATGGGTTAATAAATGTCTAAAATGAATTTACATATTTCACAGGAAATGAATGTGTTATACTGTCAAGAAACCTTAGTGTGGACTGTAACTGTTCATAAAAGAGATTGCCTGAGCAAAAACGGTCGATGGGAAAGAGATGATTTTGCCTGCTGTTTTCTCACTCTGGAAGTGAACAAGGACAGGCAGGGGAGCACTAATGATCTTTTTTCTCAGTCGTCTTGACTGTCTGTTGTAACCTATTTTTGTCTGATTTGGTCGCTGAGACAAACGAGACAGCTATAGACGTGCGTAGACTCAGTGCCTGCTGAGTAGAACTACATCAGAAGCTCCTGTGGCAGGTTCAACTTACTCAGCTGCTGAAGGAAGTACATGCAATGTTGAAGCTTTTTACATCAATATAAGTCTCCCACAGGCTCTGGGAGACTGAATCCAGAAACCTGAAGGACACTGCTGACAGTGATGTTGAATGTGTTGAGGAGTTGGCGTTGGAGTGTTGAAATCCAGTATTATCTCTACATCCATTCAGTAATAATAATTTATGATTTAATAATAACAATTTAATTGCTCTTCATCAATTCTGTGGAAATATGGTGTACAAAAGTGAAAAGTTTGCAAGCAATATTTTCTCAGCAAAGCTATATTTTTCCTCTGCAAGCAATATGTTTTCATTTCTTCTGCAATGCAAATGAATCAACACCAAATTCCAAACACAATCAAACACACACTTCAGTGACAAGTGAGTGCACTGGAGAGTGATTACAGAGGCAGTCACTCTGTGCCCATTGAGATGTCGAACCTCTGAATTTATGCATTGAGAAAGAAAAATTCAAATGAGTGTTTACTCCCGTGCAAGTGAACAACCTCATCATGTCTGACATAAAAAATATAAAAGAGGGCAGGGATAATTGTGGCATTCAATAAATGTGACATCTGCCTAGGTAATACATAGTTTTAGTAACGATCAACACCTGATCATCTGAAGAAAAAAATGAAAATGTTTTTTTATATACAGTATGTTATCATAATTTTTATTTGCAATAAATAAAATCTTACATCATTTTAAACAGTTTATTTAATTGAGAGTTACAAATTAGCATTTCAAAGATACAAATGTTTTGTGAAGTTTTCTTTTTTACTTGCTATAACTGTAACATTACATGTGAATGAGGGTTTAAAATTACTGTAATATTTGTTCCAATATTCTTACTCATTTACAAAGTGTTTTTAAAATTTATTAAATTCTGTATTTCATGTAGTCTTTCATATATAATATAATATTCACATAATAAAACATTTTCACTGATTGTTGCATTTATGTCATACCACTGTCAATTTTACAGAATCTGTGTTAGGAATGTAACATCAACTTTTATGTACTTCTAGTTTATTTGTATTCAACATGATTAAATTATCATTTTAATTGACACTGAAAGCTTCTGCTGACATTTTAAAGATGTCTGAGGCGAAATTTCAATAGTTTAGGCTAATTATTTGCTGAATAAATTAGCTAGATAGTTTCTTTATGAGTGTAATATAATGAACAGAGTGACTCATTGCATCTCACAGTTTTAAAGTGAATTAAACTATTGCAGTGCCTCTGCTCTGTTTACTGACCTTAGGCCAAGACAAGGGCAGATGCTAGTTTAGCGCTTTGAAATAGCAGGACTGATTACGCACTTCCTGCCCCTTTTCCACTGATCAAAATAATAATTGGCTGCCTGTGTATGGGGTTATTTCCATGCTATTAGTCCATCAGTCCAACTGCTTGATTTTGCCTTGCCATTTCTCAGAGCAATACACTCTGCGTGGTAATTAAAGACGCATTATGCAGTGAATATCAAATATCTGTTTGATGTCACTGGAACAAGTTGAAGAATTATTAATAGATTTGGCAAATTTATTTATGCAAATTGACAATACATAAAATTCAATGATGATCCATTTGAAAACTCTGATCATACGTTTGTAGATAAAAAAAATTTAAATGCAGACAGTATATTCACTGGAAGTGATTATAAGAATCTTTAATAGACAGGACATTTTCGACAGAAACCTGTTTAGTCTCTTCTAGTTGTATATGTATTCTACAAAACCATAACTAACTAACTAACTAAATAAATTCTTCCTAAACAAGACGAAGAAATATGGAAATAAAAAAGGCAAAAAAGGAAGAAGACAAACAAAGCTACTCAAGTCCAGTCAGATTAGAATTCTTTAAGGCATTTATAGAGCTAACAGGACCATGCTTGAAGGATACTGAATAATTTATTAATGCCAAGGTTAAACCGACAGCACTTCAAGAAAAGCTTTTAGCTACTTAGCTCTGCTTGTTAAAACATTTCACAAATGCTAATGATAAGACGTCTATTTCAGCTTTGGACAAAAGTAATTAAGCAAGCTTTGCGGTAGCACACGCTAGCAAAACAAAATCACACTTAATTCCCCTTTGAATTCCTTTTCATTTAGCATGGTAAATAAATCTACCCTGTAGACGTGTTGTATTGCCATTTCTGCATGAAAAGCCATTTTACCTCAATTATTACATCAAAATGATGGGCACATTGGGAAATCCTCGGAGGATGCTATTCATTTACCAAATCCAGAACACTGAATATGTAAGTGACAGTTCATGCAAAATGCGTTTTTGCGCTCCACTTCCTTGCTTGTTAACCGTTTTTCAATGTAAATATGTGCTAGACTAAAGTCTTTGATCATTGTTTTTGTAAGTGTTTCGTTTAGATGTCCTCAAGGGTCAAGGTACAGACAACTTAGGGCCATTTTAACAGAACACATATTTGCATTTCACTGTGCTACTTTTCAGTTGCTTTTCTATGTAAACATGCACCAGAGGGATGTTTAACCATTGTGCTTTTGCACTGTTTAGCAGATGACAGCATTTTAAAAACATGGTGCTCAAGTTAAAAGAACTTTTTAAAAATGTATTTGCAGACCTTGTTTTTTTTCCCCTTCTTTTTCAAATTCCACTGCTTGCGTCTTGCAATTTTCAAGTTCAACACAAAAACTCGTTCTTTGTGAATGGCCCCTTAGAAAAACATCACTGACCACTGTGTTGTGCTGCTTTTTCAGTGTTTTGAAGATACAGACAACTTAGGGGTCATTCACACAGAAAGCATTTTTGCATTTCACTTTTCTAAATTCCTTTGTTTAATTGTAATCTTGTTAGGACATATTTCACCATTTCACTCATTAAAAGAAGTGAAATTTAAAAAATGTGCCTCTAGACCTGTTTTGTATTTTGTATTTTTCAACACACAAAAAATACGTTTGTATCTGTTTAAATTTGCCTCTCAGAAAAACATCATTGACCACTGCTTCGCACTGCTTTTTCAGTATCTTGCACATGAGTGTTGCATTTTTACGACAACATATCAAGGGGCTGTTCACACAAAAAACGTTATTGCATTCCAATGCACTTCTTTTCCATTGTCAAAATGCACTACTCTAGTGAAAAATAAATGTATTTAATGCTAAGTATACTACAAATAAATTGACATATGTTTGTACTTAATAAAATATCCTGCAATTGTACTTTTAGTATACTAAACTGGTATACTTAAAATCTGCTAAATTGGAACAACTAATTTTGTACTTAATGTACTTTAATTGTGCGGAAGTAATGCTGAAGTCCAACTAAAGATACACTGAAGTTTATTTGATTGTGCTAAAGTGGAACTATTGCACGTATCACTTTAAATCTCTTGCATTTAAAGACCTTTATCATTTAAAGAGCATACAATCCTCATCAAGTGACATTAAAACACATTTTAGGCTTAATATGAAGAAATTTGCATTGCGCACAAGTAGTACTCCAAATAAAGTTGAATTATAAGTTTTATATCAATAAGTCTCGAACGATATGTCAGTAAATATGCTAATAGATTTGAACAAATCTGTACTTAGTAGGAAATAAATGTATTTTAAATATATAATTTTTTTCTACGGTAGATGGACGTATTTGACCGTTGTGCGCCCATCCATCATTTTTAGCAGCAACTTGCGCATTACACGGTATACTATAAATGTGCTGCTCAGGTTAAAAGTACTGAAACAATAATAATAAAAAATCCGCATTTTCCTTGCGTTTTTTCTCGCATTATTAACCGCAAAAAAACATTCTGGGTGAATTGCTCCTTGAAAATGGTTATGGAGACATTATGTTGCATCCTATTTTTTTAAATAAAATAAATCTTGCATTTATCACATTCATGATGTTATCTTTATCATCTTCAATTCCATTCACACATGTTTGTTAACCCTCGCTGCACCTGCCAGCAAGGCAATTGAGATTATTCTAGGATAGACACTGTGCTTTGAGCAACATTCATTCAATCTTGAGAAGTGGTGTGCTTTGAGAGAGTCTATACCTTGTGAGTACACCTCTTCAGGTTGAGCCATGTCGTAGAATGCTCAGAATATATAAATGCAACCGATGAAGGGCAGTTTGGAGTGGTGTTTCATGAGGCAGTGTGCACAGGGAGGTGTCGTGTATGTGTCAAACACAATAGATGAGTCAACAGTTGCCTTGTTTGATTTAGTCAACATCCTCTCAGGCAAGCTCCTACACATCTCCGCTGGCAGAACATCCGTTTGGTTCCCCATCCGCGAACTTACTCCCTGTGAAATGAGCTTTCCATGCAACTTTTAAAAACGCAAGCTCTCGTAACACAGCAGGGCCAGTCATAAGAGTTGTTGGATGCCAATATTAAATAATACTACTTAACTCTGTAATTATAACTGTAAGAATTTATGTGCACTTTTGCAGTTCTTTGCCTTCTAAATGGCTTTTTGCACCACATTAGAATTTTTTCACAACTCAGCGAACGGAATATAACCCCTATTTATGGGGGAAGCCTGCGCTTCGGCGACTAGACAGTTGGCATGGATTCATGGTTGAGGTGTCATCTGCTCTCATTTCCTCTCAGTGTTGCTCTCCTCCGTTGCTACGAACTTTATTTCTGCATTGGCCGTGCGGGAGGCGACACTGCTGTCTCTCACTTTGTGTCTGAAGAGGAAGGGAAAGGTCTTCCTGAAGGACTTGCGGAAGCTGGCGCCCATAAAACCGTAGACAATAGGGTTGATAGAAGAGTTGGCATAGGACATGCAGTTGGCCCATGTCTTGATCTTATATGTTGCGTAGTTGGCTTTGAAGTTGGGATAGAAAGACTGGAACAGGACAAAGATCTGAATGGGACCCCAGCAGATGGTGAAGAGAACAACAATGACCACTACCATTTTGGAAATCTTGCTCCTAATGGAGATAGTTCTCTCTGAGAGCAGGTGGACCTGAAATAAACAAGATTTTGATATGATTATAGCGGGCAAAAGGGGTCTGATATATGATTTTACCAAAAAAGAAAGAAAGAAAAGTCCACATATTTTTATACATTTAGTGACAGCGCTCTGCAAAAGTATTAAGTCATTCTAATGAAGTTATACACTGAAATGCAGTTCTTTGTATTTTTAATGTACTTAAATCTGACAAGATACGAAACAAAAAAAATTTTCTGTCTGGATGTCATTAACAAATATATAAAAATTAATTGAATACACCTCTTTTTGATTAAAATGTTTTCAGTTTCTAAATTCTAAATTTCATAAAGTAATGTTGACATAAGAAGTTTGCATAATCTTTCATTCATATTTACATATTTAAAATATATTTTGTTTTAAAATATGATTAATATTGTAAAAACGGATATAATAGTCATGTGACAGAAAAGAAAGTTCCCTGTATGACTATTTGATTACATGAAGTTTTTTTTTTATGAAAAATGAAGGCAAGTTAGGTTAAGTAACAAAAATGGTTAAATTTTATTTAAGGGATTTGTTTTTAGATATTTAATTATAGATAGATTTTAATATGTTTTTAAATAATGATTAAGATGTGTATATAAGAATATTCAAGGTGTACAGAAAAGTATATTGTTTGTTTGTTTTTTTTAACCTGATGGTTACACCATTTATTTGTTGTTAATTTGTTTTTGTTTTTAAAGTAAAGCAACACGAATTCAATGACTATATCATTTTAGATATCCTTATTTATCACTGACCCTTAAATATTCCTACAATACAAAACTGCAAGATGCTGTTGTAACTATACACAGATAAATAAAACACTCACAATTTTTGCTGTAAAAACAGTTGAGTTTGATCTCTGAATTACTAAATTAGCCAGCATATTTTCTGGATTAAGGTCCCACAGCTCCATCATTATTCATGCTGTGAATCTGTTGGCTTTGAAAATGAACAGTACAGACCATTGCACAAATTTACAGTGAAGATAAAATAGTGAAGAAGATAATATGAAACAAAAGCATTAATTAGGAAAAGGGTACAAAACAAAATCCAAATGTGATTTTGCAGCATTGCTGCATAAATTATTCATTCCTCAAAAAAAAAAAAAAAAAGACCTGTAAGACTGTGTAAACATCTGCTGGCCAAAAAGCAGTATGGTGACTCAGAAGCTCTGAGTGAATGAGAGGTCACTCAACTGTAATTTGGGAGATCTTTTTTTCTCAGATAAGATAGAGCTTTTAGCAGCTTTTAGTCTGGAATTCAAAGCGAATGTGTGGCAAAGCTATACTGTCCATGTATCAAAAAGCCACTATATTTACAGAGAAGTGTGGTGGTGGCAGCATCAAGCTGTGAGATGGCTTTTCATTATCAACTGGACTGTTTTTTTGTCAAAGAGAAAATACTGCAAATCTCAGTCTAATGAAGAATTTGTGCCACTGTTTGAAAATTGTGAAGCATAGGTGTGAACCTAAACCCTGTCACAAATCTGTCTGGGAATAAAAAATTGGGCCCAAATCACATGTGAATGTTTCAGCTGTCTGACGTGTCCAATGCACATCTGAACCCAGTGTATGCTATGCGTAACAGCAACTGATCTGTTCAGCTTAGTTTAGTTTTTGTAGGCAGCATATGATCAGTTCAGCAGTTGGTGAAAAGAATAAAGCCGTGTCTGAAGGAGTGAAAGTATATCTAGAGTAAATCTATTGAAGTAAATGTCTGTTTATTTCAACATATGATTCCATTTTTATCAAAAAATAAGTCATTAAATATATGCTTGTTTATCTTCAAAGCTTATATCTTGTTTTGTTCCAACCTTTTTGACCCAGAGAGGATTGTCTTTTTCCCGAAAAGTTAACGTTATTGCATTGGACTAAAACTTACTGACTTTGCTCAGAGTACAACTCAAAAAAAATGTTTTTTTGAAAATAACTTTTTGTGGCGTTCCCGGTACAAAATGACTACCCTATAAAAATTGCTATTCTGTATAATAACCAATTATTGGATTTTTTTTTATATAGAAACTCAAAACACAAAACGCTGCCTGTAAAGTCATGAGTTTAGGTTTCGGACACCGCCTATGTGTAAGTGGACCACACCTACACCAGATGACTTAATGCTGTTTTTGCTGTGAAAATTAATTTTACAAAATATTAAAAGTCGGGAATAAACACTCAACAATTTTTTTTTTTATATTTTATATTAATATAGTTCATGTTATTAATATTTAAGTGTAGCATGTACAAAATTAAGCTCTGTATTTATTTATTTTTTACAAGGCGCTACATATATTATTTTGCCCTTAAATTCTTTTCATTTTAACTTGTTAAATAAAGGTTACCACTACAACTCCTTTATTTCTTTACTTTTGAAGAGAAGAAAAGAAACCAAGATGTTTCACAGCCTCTCGGGAGGATATACACCTGAATAATAGATTAAAGCACATATAGCCTTTCATGTCCATTCAGTGGAGTGTCATCACTGATGGTTGTTACCCACGATCATACCTGATGGTTGTTATCCACTGGTTCCACGGAAGCTTGTCCCACTCTCTTCAGCATGAAGGAATAACAGAAGGAGATGGTAATGACAGGCAGTAGATATACGGCTATGAACTGATAGAGGATGAAAGCTTTCTCGTGGGTCTTTGATGGAAACCTCTCCATGCAGTATTTTCTTGGTCCATACCAATAGCCATCCTCAAGCCTCTGGTACAGGAAGATTGGTATGGAAAGGATGAAGGAACCTTGTTGCATAAGAAAAGGGATGATGAGAATTTTAATGCTTTTTCATTTATAGACTTTTAATTTATAGGAGTATTCTGGGTTAAATGCAGTTAGGTACAGTCATATACTTACATGGAAGTGGACATGTTTAAAAGAATAAATGTGAAGCATGAATTTCTACTAAAGCATTTACATTAATTCTTCAGGGGAAAAAAGTTATAGAAAATTTTTTAGAATTGTCTAAACCTAGTGGGACTACTTTTCTAGATGGACCTCTGGTAATTGCATGTTTTGGTCTATACAATATTACAATATATACAAAAATAAAATATTAAAAATATATAATATAAAGGAAACAGATTATATTATAGTAAATATATTGCAGTTCTAAATAAAATACATACAATAAATATATAATATGTACAAAATAAATATGTACAATGTAAAAACATGTATGTACAAAATAAGTGCATTGTCTCAACTGATTAATTTAAATGTTAGTACAAGGCCACCTAATATAAAGTGTGTGTGTAAATTCTGTGTATGAATCATAATGAGATCAGGCTGAGATAACAGACAAACAACGTTGGAAAGAATAAAGAGATTCTATGGGCTGATTCACACAGAGTGCATTTCTGCAGTATTGTTCTGACAGTTGTGCCATGTCTGGCTGCATCTCGTGCATGAGTGCCATGTTTTTTAATACACTGTGTCAAAGAATTTTGAAAAACCTGTCTCGAGACGCTGCGTTCTTTTTCACCGCTTTTGTCTCGCGTAGAGAACGTGTTCAATATAAATGGCCCCATCACGCATTTACATTTGCTTCACTGTTGGGCCATTCACACAGAACACATTTTGCATTTAAAAACACAAAACAATGAAATGAAAAATTCATGGGGAACATAGGACGTCAGCGTAGCATAATACAACTCTGATTGTATTCGTTTGGATGCCTTAGGATGCCTTAAGGGTGAGTAAATCATGGGGTAATTTTCATTTTTGGGTGAACTATCCATTAATGACATTAGAACAAAATTATCTTTCTTTATGTTTTGTGTATGTGATATAGAATTGTACTAAATGACTTACCGATCCAGATACAAATGCTAACAATCATTGCGACACGAGGGGTTCGATGGTGCAGGGATTTCAGAGGATACACAGTCACATAGCAACGGTCTCCACTCATCGCCGTAAGAGTGATGCACGTCGCCTGTACGGTCACCTACACATTGCCAAACACTTTGTTATCATGTGTTCATATCATTATCAGGACATGCAAGACAGACACGCTCCAGAGCACTAGAGTAAACAACATCAAAGACACATCCGCATAATGCTTTCAGTACAGGCCAGTCTTTAGCTCATCGCCTTTTGAATTAATTCTAGACACACAAAAAATAGCCCCATTCACTTGTGGTTTTGTCTGGTGAATTAATTGAACTGAAGTGCCTGATTGCTCATCTTAAATTAAAAGAATCAGGTAGGAGGAGAGGCTTTAGAGAATAAAGTAAATCATTGTGCTGAGTGTTTTTATGCAAGCTGAACTATCCCTTAGCTCTTTGATGCAACAGGTGTGAACAAAGAGCTGTTCCATCCCATCGTCTTTTGTGCAAGGTATCTAATGATTAAACAAAAAATGTGTGCTTGACCTCAATCTGAGGAGGCCTGTGTGTCCGACAAGATAAGCTTCACAGTGCTTTTGGACCAAACCTGTATGAAGAATACAGGATTAGGAAAGAGCAAAAACACAGCTGAATTTATGCAGTTATTTCTCCCACAGCGATTGTTTGGTGTTTGTGTAAGCTGTTCATTTGTTCAGTAATTAAATACAACTAAGAAAGAAGACTTGTAAATTAACAGCAGACTGGTACTGTACAAGTAAAATGTTATTTAGTTCAAATTGTCCTGAAACATTGCTAATTTAAGTGAATTTACTTCAAAGTATAGCTGAAATGAGTGTCTAGTCATATGTTTGACGGGCTAGCATATCCCTTTGGTCACATAGGTAGTTTTCTTTGCCTTTTCCTATGTTTTTAATGCTAGCTTTTATACTGTGTCCTACTTTTTTTGTTTGGCTGATGCAGTCTCTCACAAGGCAGTGAATAAAGATTGACTCACAATCACATCTTCTATTATCTACATGAAATGAGGGATGAATCATAATGTTGAAATGCCATACAAAAAGAAGTTCTTCCTTCATGTACCCCCAAATGTAAAAAAAAAAAAAAAAACGGTATTCCTCAGAGCATTTCTGTTCAGTTGTGGTTTTCTGTTTTGATGTATATTTTGTATGGTTGTTTTAAATGGAACTGTTTGAGTTCTCAGAGGATTACTCTTTTATGTATTGCTGCAGAGAGAACGCTGTTGTTGGGAAAGCTTTGAAGCTTGTCAAGCTACAAGTTACAGTTTTAAAGTATAGCTATACTATAGTAGCTTGTTATCCTTTTAGAAAAAGTAGTTAGATTACTACATTGAAGCTACTTAACAAGGCATCGTCTATCTGAAATTCAGAAGAAATACTGTATATCATTTAAGTATCATTTAATCAGAGCTAAATTTTTCCAGCCCAAAACCAAGGATTTTTGAATGAATCTCAATTAGTGTGATCTATACTATTTACAGGTACAGTATTACAACTAATAATACATTGTAAAAAAAAAAATGAGTGTAAACTGATATTCCCACAATTCCCTATGTGACTTCTCATTTTGAACGTTTTTTGTTTGAATAATCATGCTTCTTAATAGTTTTTGTTATCAGTTATGTATATTAGGGTTTTATGTTACATTTTATGTTGTTTAATTAAAGTGTATTGCATTATTTAAGTGCCATGTGTGTTACCATGATGGTGTTTTGTGTTTGCGTGAATTACTCTGTGCACCTTCTGTATATTAGTGTAGCCCCTGCTACAGAATATGTTACGGTTTTATATTTCATATGCAAGTAATGTTTATGTTAATATTGTATAAAATTATAAGTTAGTGTACTGAAAAAAATACACTTCGAGAGAACCTAAACTGTTGGGCCTGTCATTTTTATTTCTTTATAATGTAGGCTAATTGGGTGCCTTGTGAATGATGACCAATCAGGTATCAGGATATGGGAGAGGGTGGGACGAAGAACCAGAAAAAAAGAAGATAGTACGAGCGAGAGAAGGGAGATGTCGGCTAGATATCTCTCCCTTTATATGTGTTTTAACTGGCTAAGCGTGACCGTGAAGTTCCTGACTAATTTAAAGTGCGTCACAGACATTAATAGGATAACTATTGGTGGCGAGCCAATGCATTTCGCATAAACTGTCTAGGATCGCGCTCGTTGATAAAGAGAGTGATAAGGGGAACGATAACGTATGTGGACTGTGGTGACTGGATTGCTGTCTACCGCTGACCAGAGTTGAGAGGATTCAGAGTTCTGAAGGGCCTTACCACGGTAGGAAGCGCCCGCGCTGCCTGGAGATTGGATTAATGTTGACGTCTGCCGAATGTGCTTCGGGGGGATGGATTCCGATTAGGAAACTAACAGACTGTGACTGCGTATGATCCTGATTTAAATGACTTATATCGTAATCACAGGTGCCTGCTTTCAATTTTATTTTATTTTGTTGTGGCTCAGGTGAGTGAAGCGGCCGTGCGTTCTTGGCCTCTACGAACACAAGCAGCAAAGAGGCCTGCAACTGGAACTAAAAAGTATTTTACATAGTATTTGCCGGCTTAGAGTGTTATATATATTTCATTGATTTGTGACAGTTCTTGATTTTGTTTCTTTCATATTGCTGACTGTTGATTTGACCTATAGAGCTCATTTGATAGGAAGGGACTACACACTTGTGGTTTGATAGAAACTTTATTGAAAAGACTACCACTGTAACACGAAATAATTACATTATTTTATTTTTTACTGGCAACAGATTCATTTTAATTAAGTAAATTCGAATTTGGGTTAACTTTTGGCTTTGTGGTTAGTTGCATTTAATTTTTTCCTGATATTTTGAGATTAAGGTGTGAAATAGGTAGCAACACGAATTGAACCCATCATATAAAACTTCCCAGTGGCAGGAAGGGGGTGTTACATTAGTATATACTTTAGCTTTGATTTGATTTGACTTTGATTCTTCATGTGGCTTTCTCTTTTACCACCTGCATTATTATGGTGGTCAGTTATGGTGCTTTTAGTAGCAGTACACATTGTTGAATTTACTGGTTTACATTCAATTTTTCTTGTTTGTAAATTACTGTTTTATACGGTAAAATTTACAGTTTGTTCTGTAAATGTCTTTACAGTTTTTCTGTATTTTTTACAAAATTATTCCGGCAACCACAGCTGTCATTTTTTTTTTTCAATATTTATTTATTCATTTATTACAGTGTAGAAAATCTCAGTTGAAAACAGATTTATTCAGTGTTTACAGTGTTTGACTTAAAGGGGTCATATGATGCGATTTCAAGTTTTCCTTTCTCTTTGGAGTGTTACAAGCTGATCGTGCATAGATAAGCCAAATACACAAAATAATGATCTTTAAAAAAAGCATCATATGACCCCTTTAACATTTCACTGTAAAAAGATGCTAAAAAATGCAATACCTACTGTCATGTTACTTAAAGGTGCAGTGTGTAAATGTTAGCAGCATCTATTCAAATGCGGAGTTTTGCGCATCGTGTGTGTGTGCGCGCGCGCGAGAGAGAGAGAGAGAGAGAGAGGGGGGGAAGGGATTAAGTAAGGTCTTTATACACCTCTGAAAACATAGTTATGTATATTATATTGCATTTCTGTCAATAGATCGATGTAAATATTACACATTGCACCTTTAAAAAATGTAGTTAAGTAGTTTTGCTTCTATTGAAACACTAGAGGTGCTAGCACTTTTAACCCATATTAGTGGTGCAATGGATCACAAAACTCACGGTTCGGATCATATTACGGATTTTGAGTCACGGATCAGATCATTTTTCGGCTCAGAAAAAAAAAATAGTGAAAGCTTACTTTAAGTACTTCTATATCACAGCAAAAAATAAAACAAGAACAATTACACAAATTACAAGCATATATTAATACAACTAAAACAAATCAATAAAGTAAAGTCAGTAACAGTAGCATTCAGGTGCATAAATGTAATAATTAAGTGTAAAATAACACAATAGTGCGCACTGCACAAGTTAAATACAGATTTGTGGTGTTATTTGATTAGCAGACAGAAACAGGTATTTATTGGCTGCTGTCTCTTTAAGACCAAATGCACGGACCTAATACTGACACACATCCGTTTTTTTTCTCAGTTGTTTAAGCTCACTTAAGACATAACCGACTGTGTTTACTAGAATACTTGCCAAAACTTTGTGTGTAAGTGAAAGAGGAATCAATTCGCTGTTCACGCGGTGTCTCTCTCTCTGCGTGTGCTTCAGGTGTGTGCGGCAGCAACTGAGCGCACAGAAAACAGCGCACGAGTTAAAATTGCTTGAATGTGTAAACTGGCAAGACAAAACATGTGCAAATGATAAACTTTAACTCTATGATGGTTAAACTTAACAGTTAATCCGCGAATCACATGCGTGCCGTACGGGTCACGGATCATCTACAATCCATTGCACCCCTAGCCCATATCATTTTTTTTTTAAAGGTTAATGCTATTTTGCATTTAAAATTAAGTACCACCTGTCGGCGCTGATAACCTTGTGGGCAGTGCGCCAACATACAGCACCGTTGCACTACAGTCGTGCTGAGTTCGAATCCCGACTCGAAGACCTTTCCCGATCCCACTTCACTTTCTGTCAGTTCTGATTTGTCCTGTCATAATAAAAAAGGTGTACCACCTACACTAAACCCTACCAATAGTTTTAACAAAAGCAAACATGAGATAAAAATGATAAAAATGCATTTGCTGAATGTACCAGGTGAGCTACCAATGAAATTTACTGAGGCACAAGCCATACATATGGAGCTTGTTATGTGCTGCAGATGTCAGAATGTATTCGTTTACAAATCATGCACTATGGTAAAGTGTTTTGAGGTTGTGACGTGGACACAAAAATAAATCTTTATTAATCGATATTCTGCCACTGAAATCATGCTGTGTGAAAAGGAATATATGTGGAAACTGCAGACTGGAATGATATGTATATGTACTTTTTTGGGAGTTTAGCAAAAATGTAGGCAAATGCATGTTTTTCCAATGAGTCTAGGTTGCTTTTTACCTTTTTGTCTAATCACAGTTTCATGAGCAGCATTGTCTCTGCCAGACAGTCAGAACGTGCTTGTCCAGAGAGGAACATTGATTGTGAAATGGGTGTGGAAATCAGAAAATGTGCACTGACTAATGTCTATGCACCTCTCATACCAAAGCAACTACTGTTAGAATTTATACTTTATAATTTGTAATGCATATTTATCATTTTTTTCTCTATACAAAATCTAATAATAATATTTATTATTATTATTATTATTATTATTATTATTATTATTATTGTAACTGTTTGGATATTGCATCTCACTGTCAAAAATTGTACAGGGCCATACAAGTACTTCTACCCAGGACAAGTCAAACATTTGGTCATGAATATGAATTAGCTAACATGACTTGAGCAAATTCATTTCATAGCCATATAGCGATGTCACAATGTGCCCATCTTGAGCTGCCCCAACTCTAAAACTCGTTCTGTCATCATTGCCCAAAACTTGACTTTCTAGTAAGAATAGAGACTATATTATAGGTCTTAATTAGTGTACAAATCCATTTATTGCTACTGGGTGACACTGTTGGGTACTCTACCGAAGTCCAGAATCCTATCAGCATTGATCTTTATACATTTATTCCTCTTACTTTTCATTTCACAGTGACTTTGTCGGTATGGCCATTGTGCTCAAAACAATCTGAGATGACACATTTACACTACACAATAGAAAAAAATAGCGTATTTAGCGTCTTGTGCTGTGTTGTTTCCTGAGGTGCTCTGCTTACCTGTTGGAGAAAAGCAACAAATTTGCACATGAAGTCCCCAAATATCCAGCCAGGCAGAGGGTAGAGGGTAGCAGTGAACGGCACGCAGCACAGCAGGAAAATGATGTCAGTGGCAGCCAAGTTAGCTGAGGAATTAAATATATGTGAAATTAATGATCTGTTTCATTTGATTAGAAGGTATGGAAAAAGTAAATGTGTAATGTGAGGTGAGACTGTTCGTATTACTGTGATCTCCAAGGGGTACAGGGATTCTGTCAGTGCTTGAAATATTGTGAAGTCCAAAATAATTGGAGACATAAATGGTAGGAATGTGAGGTGAAAATGCAGTGAATTAAATGCAAGCTCTGACAGCGACACTGAAAATCAATTTGAGACACTGTGGACGATCTGACTTTATTCTCTTCCATGCACAGACTGATACAATTCACTAAAAGTACATATAAGGTAACATTACAAATACTAAAATGCCAACATCTAGTCATATGTGACTGACTTTTTTGATTGAGTACTTCATTCAAGTTCCATCAGTTTTAAGACATTTCCTAACCTCACAATCTTGCTCAAGAGGTCCTTGTGTAGCGTTCCTTGAGGGAATGCATTAAATCTTACAGTTACATGACAGTACATCATTCTGTGACTAATGAATGAACACAGTAAATAAGAGGTTGAACTCCAGTTTGCCTCCTGTCGCTGCAGTTCCTGTGCAAAATTAGATTCATCTGACTTATGACAAAGTACATTGACAAAAGAGACTAAAATAAATTCAAACACTAAGAAATTTTTAGAAGTTTTTTAAAAGAGCGTTGTCTAATGTGGTAAAATGTTCCAAAGCTTTTGTGCAGAAAAAAGGGAATTGGCTGCAACTCACCAATGTAAAAGTTAGTGGCGGTCCTCATCTGTCTGTGCTTGGAGATGACATAGATCACCAGTGAGTTTCCGATCAGCCCCACTAGCATGATGAGAGAGAAAAAAAGGGGCACCAGCCAAGCATCCGTCAGGAAGGGATGCTCCTCGTCCTCTGTGTCCCCCATAGAGGAGTTTCCAATGGAGCTGTTAAGCAGCTCACTTGAGTTCCAGTCTTCACTTGGAAACATCATTTTAGACTTGGCAAAGACCTTCAAACAAGATGAAAAAAGTAAAGTTTCTTCCTTCTGGCAGTGACAAAGTCCTCATGCCCACCAATCCAATTAATTTTAAGAAAAAGCCATTAGAATCTGGTGTCTTTTCATAAACGTCATGCTAGTCACTGAGGCAAGGTTTTTCGGATAGACGGGTGTTTGAGGGAGACAACTGCCGCAATTTCTCTTCAGCTCTTTGAAAAAGGAGCCCTGCGAGCAGTATCCACTCAAAGGCAGAGTGGATTCACTCCCATTGGCTTTATACGCAGCCTGCACACACGTTGGCAACAGAATGATTGTAGAATGAAGAACTGATGTCAGGTCGCCTAGCAACAATTTTAGGGCTCTCTCATTCCACCGCTCTGTGTGTGCAGAGAGAGCAAAATATAAATGTGGTATTTACCCTGTAATATTCACATAGCCTAAAGATACGCAATCAAAGAGATCAATGTGTTTCAGTTTGTTCTACTATCACACCTCATATATCTAACCTAGAAATTACCGGCTACAGCATGGAAAAACACAATTAAAGCTTCTCAGGACTGCACTTCGCATCCTAGCAAATTGCCATATGGGATCTCCTTTGTTAAGTCCAGGTTACTTTTTTCTTCCTGAAGGCTGTATATGCTCTGTTGGAGCAAATCGAACCAAATTCAGACTATGAATGAACAATTCAATCAGACCTAAGTTCTTGGAGAATGAGCTCACAATCATGGTTGAATCACACACGGACTGCTCTGATAACAGCACAGTGGTCTCGTTGAACACTGATGAAGACATGGAGACCGAACACTCCCACAATTTCTATTCAATAAAATTCAACACTTCAGTTTGCCTGCTCTTCATTGCGTTCTTTGACCCCTACACAATAAAGCCTTTAATTGCACACATTTAATGCACAAAAATGGTTGTTATAATCAGCATTTTGTTTGTTTGGAAAAGTTTATCAATAATTTTTCTCATTTAATGTATATATTAATAGTGCATTCTAGGGCTGCACGATAAATCGCATGCGATATTTAATGCGCATCTTGTCAGTAAAGCCAGTTCTGTAATCAGCAGTAAATCTCCATCACGTGCGTGCTCTCACACGGAGCAGCATTTACTACACAGAGCTGTTGTTCACTGACAAGCTGCACAAAACCACGTTCATATATGATCGTGATGGAGATTTACCGCTGATTACAGAACTGGCTTTACTGACAAGATTCGCATTAAATATCCCATGCGATTTATCGTGCAGCCCTAGTGCATTCATGTCGGAAAGTTTGTATTTATGAATTGAATGTACATGACCGGCACCATACGTCTTAATTACAAGTAGCAAACTCTGAACTTTCTTTAAGCCCAGAGTTTCTGAGTTGGTGAGAAAACATGTCGGAGACAATGGATGCAGCATCTGTATTGACGGTAAATTTGTTGAAATAAGTTGCATGCACAAAATATGATGTATTGTACAATTACAGTATAAAAATATAACAATTTACAGAACCTTCATAAATTGGATAAAAACATAAAAAAAGAAAAAAACATTCTGATGCCCATTCTTTCTAGATGCAGAGTTTAAAAATATTGCATTTTTTAGATTTGTTTTGTAGAAAAGGTACATCAGATTCGGCATCATCCACTGACCGGAGTGACTTGAACACACTTGATGTCAAAATTACAGCTGCCAAATTCGTAAATATAAACGCATTGTGTTAAACTTGTTAGAGATAATGACCAGCTGATTGCCGTATCTTTCACACTTACATTTTTTTTTTTAATTGTAAATAAAGCAAATAGTACTAGAGTACATTTTACAAAAAAATACTATTTGAAATAGTAAATTAAATTAAAATGCTAATTTTTTTGTGTGAACAATGGTTTAATAAATGTATTACCTGCTTGGGAAGCATCCACATGGGCATTTGATATTACAATATTTCACACATTCAAATCTGCAAAAAAAAAATTTAATTAATATTTGTGTATATTTATGTATATTTTTATCGTATACATATATAGTTTTTTATTATTTTCTTCATCACATTTCATTATGTATGGTATGCATGGTATTTAACGAAAACAATTATTTTGCATAAAGCAATCCGTGAAATGTGAGTGATTAACTTTACATCAGCTGCTTTGTACATAGGCCCTTATATTACTGAAATAGGGCACTGAAAATTTAAACAACTTTGCAAAAACATTCATACCTCTTGCAACAGACTTGTTCACCCCCATGTTTCACATTGTCATGACTCATCCAACATCACATTTTGGCATCAACAGAATCCGATAATTTAAAAAAAAAAAAAAAAACAGTCCAGTCAGATTAGATGTAGCTCATAGTGATAGTGTTTTACAGGACATATTTCTCTGAAACCTTTACCACACACACTCAGACTCACAATGAAAATCAAATGAATCATGCATGTGATCGGTCAATTAATACTTTAATCGCTCTTGAACTGAACATGACAGAATGGTACACCTTACAGCACTAGAGGTTTAGTTGAACATTCAAGCTTTAAAACTTAGTATGCCTGTCTGGTGGTTTTGAAGGTCGTAGGAAACCATAAATTTGTATTCTGCCGCTGGCATTCTCCGAGTCTCTGGAGACCAAGGCCTGCTTCAGCTCAGCATTCAGATGTACTGGACAGCTCAGATTCAAATGTGTCATGTCGACGGGCCGTGTTCACAAAGCTCCTGGGAGGCCAACCTTCAACACGGCATGGTGGACATCATATCTGTTTCTCCGCAAGGATGGAGTGTATTATTTGTAAGTACTTGACCATAGAAATAATTGGCTTGGCTGTATCGATACAGTTTTTAGCTATCCAGCCATGAAATATGTATGCCCTGCAGCAAACAAGACATTCAAAAAATATCAAAGATTTCATATAGAGTACATACAGAGCAGAGCCTACGGCTGGAAATGTGCCCAAAGCACATTTTAAAATCTAATTATCTTGCACATGGGCATTATATTTTAGAATTTTTTGCTTTTATTTTTTATCCTTTGTGGGAAAGAGCATTGCTCTGACCTTTTCTCAGTCAATAGTCACAACCTGTGAACAGCCAGCTTCTTTGGCAATGAATGTTTGTGGCTTACCCTCCTTGTGAAGGGTGTCAATAATTGTCTTCTGGACAACTGTCAGATCAGCAGTCTTCCCCATGATTGTGTAGCCTAGTGAACCAAACTGAGAGACCATTTTGAAGGCTCAGGAAACCTTTGCAGGTGTTTTGAGTTGATTAGCTGATTGGCATGTCACCATATTCTAATTTGTTGAGATAGTGAATTGGTGGGTTTTTGTTAAATGTGAGCCAAAATCATCACAATTAAAAGAACCATAGACTTAAACTACTTCAGTCTGTGTGCATTGAATTTATTTAATACACGAGTTTCACAATTTGAGTTGAATTACTGAAATAAATTATCTTTTCCATGACATTCTAATTTATTGAGATGCACCTGTATGCTATATATGCAGATGGCCTCAAAGGTAATACACATGAACTAAAAGACAGAAAACTATTATTTTGATTAAGCAATTTAACAGGCTTGAAAAAACATAGTGCACACACTAGAAATAAAGAAAGAAAGCCCAGGGAAGGTGGAATGAACACAACATTGCTAATAAATGTGTGTGTGTAAATAAATAAGTTTAAGTGTGCTATTTATATATTTTTCATATTTTACATTAAAATATGATTAATAAAAACAGTAATATTGAGAAATATAATTACAATTAAAAATAACTATTTTCTATGTCAAAGCTGACTTTTCAGCATCATTACTCCAGTCTTCAGAGTCACATGATCCTTCAGAAATCATTCTAATATGCTGTTTTGGTGCTTAAGAAGCATTTCTCATTTTGAAAACAGTTGTGCTGCTCAATGTTTGTGTTGAACCTGTGATACATTTTTTCTTTCAGGATTCTTTGATGAATAGACAGTCCAATAGAGCATTTATTTGCAATAGAAATCTTTTGTAATGTAACTTGATAATGTATTTAATGTCACTTTCTTGATCTTTGAACATGTCTTTGTTATCAAAGCTTAATGTCTTGCATGAAAAACAGCACTGAAGGACTGGAAGGGCAAAAAGAAAAGAAAAAATATGTTGCTTGATATAGGTGTATAAATTATGTCCATTATGGTCACTTAGCAGCCACTACCGCCAAGTATATATACCATCTGGGTCAATCTTTATTAACACAGCTCTGCAAAAGTATACACATCCCTCATAATATTTTTATCCCTCTGTTGTGTTTTTCCTCTCCGTAGGTGAGATGGCAGCTGCCAGAGTGCTCCAATTTACAGAACCATACCTATGTCTCTTTTAAAAATGTGTCACCCTATGGAGTTTCCTCTGTAACAATTGTTTGGAGAAGACAAAAACATTGACTGTTGGAATATATGTGGGACTTGTGCAGCCAACACCATGAGTGCAATGTGCTGATGGATGAGGTGATTCAGTGCTTTTTACATTCTTCTGACTGTTGTGGCATAATGATTGGTGAGAAAATATGCAGGGAGGAAAGGTGATGTCACCCGAGCAACACATCACCAACATATGTGCATAATTCACATGGCAAACTTTTGTCCTAATAGATTACACATATATTCCAGGATTAATGTTATACGCATTCTTAGAGTATCAAAGAAAATATTTCAAATGAATGATTGTTTTCATATCCAGTGTGTAACAAACACATCAGAAGGCATTTTTGATGTAAGCCGAATAATTTAAATCAACACCTTTTTGAAGTTTCTTTAGACGCCAGCTTTAGAAAAAAAAAAACAGGTTTGAAGTGTGCATTGTATGGAAAACACCAAAAAAGCACATCTGCCTGCACAGAAACACTTTCTTTAGATGTTAATACGTCTAATATAAGTACTGTCTGATGTTTATGAAATATTTTACAGACCTGTCATATGGTTTTCTCTAATGACCAGCGTCAATGCGGCTCTTTCAGGTGAATGTAGCTGTG